TAAAGCCGAGCCAAATGAATGAGAGATAGGTGACTGGAGTAGGCTGAGCAGTTGAGGCGTAGCCATAACTCGTCGCCGTATAGGCAGGAAGACGTTTCACCACATACATATACACGCCAAATAGGAGAACTGAGTCTTCTCTTCGTCTTGCTAATTTGCCATAACTTTTAGCTAATGTCAGCTCTGCTTCAGCCATTCCTCCTCCTGCCAGCAGCACTTGGCTTCAACTTTTTCATTTCCACGTCCCGTGCGAGCTGTGCAAATTGCTGCTTTGAAAAGTAAACTCTACAATTTCCATGCGTACATTTGCTACGCCCCGCCGCCGCCTGAGTGCTCAGGCGACGACGTTTTATTGTGTACACGTGACACACAATTTTGCAATTGTCGCTGTCTTTGGAAATTGTTCGATGCAATAGTCCCCGAAGGCGCGAAGTCTTGTTGTCCACAGCGGCGGCCGAACATTAACTTTCGATTTCCGAGCTTCATTAAAAATGTTTAGTGCTTTATTTTCGTCAGCAGCCGCGCACCCTCAGCCACGAGCACGACCACGACCACGCCCATTGCTGCCTATGGCCGCCGCAGCAAGATGTAACTGCTTAGTTAATAATTTAGGCTGCCTTGTTGCGGCGATGCTTAAAGCTTAGCAAACAAACTACGCTGCTTTATGAGGCAGCAAATGACGATGCGTCGCGAGTGCTCGCTATCGACCCATTCGGCAGCAGGACATAGGTCCTGTCCCGTCCTGTTCTGTGCTGCTGTATCCGAGATACAAAAGGTTAGAGAGCGACGCTGCCTCGACGCTTCGATGATGGTGGCAGTAAATAAAGGCACGTTTATGGACAGCCACTTGAGCGGACAGGGTAAGCTGGCCAAAAATACGCATGTAGTACATACAAGTGCACATCTATATACACTCTCTCTCTCGCTCTCCCTCTCTCTATACATAATGTATTGTATATATACATGTGTTCATGTATTGTCGCATATATAGCGGGCTAGATACACGCGCGGTATTTATGCGATAAACGCGTGTCAAATATAATTTTAGAAACATAACGCTACGCCTAGGAGTATAAAATACTGCACGCGGCATCCTGGCGGTGTCGGCCAGCGTCAGAATAGCTGCTAAGGAAAGTTTTCCGCCCTGTCAGTCGTTCAGAGAACGAGAGAGTGGCAGCTGTTTTAAGGCATTCCAGAGATTTCGAGCACAAGAATACCCCTACAGCGCTTGGGGTAGGCAAATTGTGGGCTCACAGAGGAATGTTTATTTATTTTGTTTAAAGCGCTTCCTTGTTACAGCACACTTTAACACGACGCGCAAATTATGCCAAATCACTCGGACGGCAATACGTCAAGTCAGCGCCACCCAATTAATTGCGGCTCAAAGTATTTAAAAGTTCATGTTGGGCCTTTAATTTTTCATAAGTCATTGGCCAATTTCGCCTTTAACACTTGGCCGATTCGCATACGCCCTGTCGTCCTGCATGCAATAGACGAACTGTGTCCCGCGCCGGCGGTATCCCTTCTAAAGTGTTGCGTGATAACTCGCCGCGATTGCGGTCACATTAAGGCTTCCGCATTGCGTTTGATTTAGGACTACAATGCATGGTTTGGAATTTGTAATTATGGCTGCGAACGCGTCGTGCTGACAGCTCAATGCGGCGGTAGCCTTTACGAGCTGCACAAGGTTTTTGGCGGAACCAGTTTGATTTATGTGCTGAGGGCTTGGCCCGAAAGTGCGTTGTACATACGTGCCTTCAATTTTTAATTACCATGCCAGCCACAAAACTGAGTTATTGATGTAGGTCAGAGGACATGCAAGAGCTGGACTGTCCAACCAATTCGACTCCAATCGAGCAACTGTAGTGCGGAAAATGTTTTTCTCCAACTCGAGCACTCGTGCGGAACGCCCAAGAGAGACTGAGACTTGATTCGAAATATTGTCGCATGGAAACTCATAGTTGATTGTAAGTCGTTAAGCCATATATTTCTAGATAAAGCCAAAAAAAGCACAGGGCACACTGAGTATTCGAGTGTAGCTCAGCTCTTCCACCGAAGTACTTAGCCATGTTCGCTCCTAATAGCAATAATAGCTGCCTAATAGGATTAGCTTTGTATCGATTTGGTCTCCCATATCGCCAGTCCCCAGTTGGAAGTTAACGCCTTGATCCCGCTCTAAGACTAAACAAGTGATAGAAAGGCTTATGGCATTCGTTTTGTTCAACGACAACAATCAAATTTTCGAGTGCTCATGAGTGTGGAGCGTTTGAAATTCTGATGCGTAGAAAATTTGTCGTTTTATCGTTAACAAGTCCTCGAAAGCGGCTTACAAAACAATTTCGTGACAATAAAAAGATTAAAATGCTGTTAAAAAAAACACACACCAAAGACAAACAATTGGTGTGCATTTATAGGAGTGTGAGCTAAGCGGCTTTGCATGCTAAATACTTAGACTTCGACGATAGGCAAATCATGAAAAGAAAACAAATATAGCTGGCAGATGAGAAAGAGCAATTAGTCAGCCCATAGCGATTAATTGGACTAAAGCATTTTCCCAATGGCTGCGAGAAAAGTTTTTGCATATAATTTAAACGTTAAACCCCGATTGTTACGGTCGCATATGTTTCGTTCGTAAAAGCCATAAAGCCAAAGTACTCACTGCCACACAATAAGCCACACAGAGCCATGTAGTCATTCAGCCATAGACATGTGTATTACACGTTTAAATTAAGCAGCAGCAGCAGCAGCAATTCGAAGCGATTTATGGAGGAGGCTCAAGACACACATGCGGAAAATGCGATAGGGCAACAGTTGTCTGAGCATGAAGAATAACAAAATGTATATATATCTATATATATGTGTGTATGCCATTGTGTCTCATAGTAGTGCTGAAAGTTGTCACGAGTGACAGCCTGAGGACTCAGCTCAGCTGCGCACAATAATGAGAGTAAAGTTATTTGCGAATGAAAGGATTGTGATGGTGATTGTGATGTTGGCATTAACAAAACTCTTCACTTAACCGCTTGTTAGTTTCCAAAACTTCCTCTCATTGTGAATCAAGTTTCAATAGAAGCGAGCTCTTTGAGCTGCTAAAAGTGGATTTATCTGGATCAAGAAGCAGCAGCGTTAGAAATCAAATAAGAAAGCTGTGTTGGCTTTAACATTTTGCGACAAATACATGACGTCTACTGCCAAGGCGGCTGTCCAAATTGATGAACGAGACGCTCCAGACGCACTCAGCAAACACTTTGGCACGCACGAATTCACCGTGGACCTTGGAAAAACTTAATTGATTTAAACGACGTTAGCTCGCATGTGAAACTTGGCTCATTAAATGCCAAAATACACAGGCGCACATGCTCATACATGTTGTAATAAAGTTGCTGAGTGTTGGGCTCTGGGCGTGGCCAAATTTATTATATGCTGCATACTTTGAGGCACTTATTTACCGCCGAATACAAGTATCATGCTTGTATGGGTACATACTCAGCATTGTAGGTATGCTCACATAGCGGCAGTTAATTGCCTCTTGAGGTGCCAAGCCATGGCGGTAATTACTCAGCGTCACTTGCACCAGAAGCTATACGTTAAGTATACGTGGCGTGGGCTGGCCAAAAATGAGACTAAATACTTGTATTCTAGTTTGAGACAAACACAAATTAAACCTGTGTGCGTTCGCGTCAAACCAACAATGCAGACAAATAAATACTTCACACATCAACAGGGTTTGTGTTTCAGCAATGGACAAAACCCTCAGCGATTGAAGTGTCTGCAATATGTATGCCACTCACTCGAATGAATTCGCAAGCGACTGAGTGCAATCGTTGACAAAAACTTATATAATATTAATCAGTGATGCATTCAAAGTGAAAAACGGAATGTATAAAATATTTAAATCAAGTTTATGGCAATTTAATGTGAGTGCAGATTCCACACAGGAAAATGTTATCAGGTTACAGAATTTATCGGAAAATTGCCATGTAAAACGACATACGCGAGCTTCTCCATGACTGGATGCACCAACGACGATACGATAATTATAATTAAATTAATATGCTGTGTATAGAAGCGACATCCATTGTTAGTGCACTTTAAGAGGCAACCAGTAAAATTACTTCCAAGCGAATAATCTCTTTAGCTAGCGTGACCAAACGAATTGTTATGAAAGAATAGACAATGACATGCGTAAAATGTAATTAACAGCTAGATTGATTACTGGATGACATGTCGGGTCAAGAACTGTAACAAAATGAACTTGATGAACATTAAAGACATTCTTGAATTAACTCAAGCAATATTAAATACATTCACATAAAGACATATCAGTCGATGCTCAATATGAACTGAATATTAAAGCTTGAAAACGTTAACCGAAATCCAGTGGCTCTGTTTAAAATAAAAACAAAGCTTGATAGAGAAAACTCTCTGATGAATAAAGCTTGAAAAAATAAATAAAACTGCGTAGATTTCGTGTTCGCTGCGCAGCGCTCGAATATGGTATGCGAGCAGTGACATTCACATTTAAAATTAAAACAAAGTTACACTGTAATAAATTGAATTGCGAGTTTACGAGTCGTAACCAAACTGCCCTTTTGGGGTCCACCGCTGCGGCTGTCATGCCCATTGAATCGCAATGGCATGCCGAATCCGGCATGCTGTATCGGGTCAGGGGGCATGGTCAATGGAAGAGCCGCAACAGTTAAATGCAAAATGAAGAAATTAATATGCCGCGTGGCAAGCCGAAGGCCTTAAGCATTGCTCGGCCAAGCAGGACTGAAGCGCGAATTGAGGTAGACATTATTTCAATTATACGCCAATGCAATTGAGAGTCAAACGTGAGCTGCGTGAAAGTTCACGTATTTAGGGGCCAGTGGATAAGCCGACAATGCTTAATAGCGACAAGCACACGCACGTAACCGGCCGAAACAAGCGGAAAAGGAAAAACACGAAAATATCTTTTTAGGAAATTCTTCACAAATATAATACAAAAGGAGGAATGTATGTATACAGGTCGGCATAAAATTTAATCGTCTGTGTGCGTCATGGAGTTGGGGTTGTTTGTATGTCTATATAAATATAAATACAATTATGGTACAACTAGAATAACATCGAATTCTTGTACTTGTACAACTAAGAAGAGTGTGGTTTCGGTTATAAGCAAAAATACATAAGGGGCGCCGCACTCGGCGCCTACGAATAGAAGGTGAGCACGCTCGTCTGATTGCCCCGCACAAACAGAAAGGGGGGCATGTCCCTGCTGAGGCTCTCCAGCCAGGCCATGTAGAGGGGTGCCGAGACGATGTTCTTGCGTGGCATCGGCAGCGTCATTACCACGAGATCCGACTTGGTTGACTGCTCGCGCAGGTACTCACGCAGCCTCAGGTAGCGATTCGTCTTGTCCACCACGGCCAGCAAATCATCGTCACTAATGAGAGCTGGAGCAATACGAATATAAATAGCCTGTTTAATACGGCTCGAAGAGTTGATCAAAGAGCCTTACCTTCGTCCTCATTCAGTGTCGCCTTGCTGCTGTGGCCGTTCTCCTTATCGCCCACAACAAAGTCCTTAATCAGTTCATTGAAGAACTGCGTGGATGTTTCTTGAGGCTTCTTGGTGATGTCGGGTATCAATGTTAGATCGGAGTAATCAATGCGAAACTTGGACAGCAAACTGGCCATCGAACGTTGCTCAAACTCCAACTCTGAGTTCTTGTTCGCCAATGCATAAACCCTGTCAATACATAAGAATAATATACATATATATAATTATACATTTTCTGTTTGTGCAAGCGCAATACAAATATTTTCCAAAAAACTTGCAACAGCAAAAACCCATTCGCCCAGAAAGCCAAAAATGAAATACGGAAATGCAATATAGCTGAAAACTACAACGAACTGTGACTCTGTGGCAGATGCTGCTCAATGACCTGCAGTAGCTGTGAAACGAATCCCCCATCTGTGTATGTTCGTTTATGTTCGCTAGTCCCATATACCCAGTAGAGTACCGACAACTGGCAGAGTATCAGCTGTGCAAAACGAGAAGTCAAGTCATTCGATACGCTTGACATGGCAAATGTTATACTTAACGCCTCACTGAGTCGGACCAGTTGCGCTTTGGTTCTCCAAATCTCGATGTGCCAGTCTCTCTTTGCTAGTTGGTTGCGTGTATTTGGGAGAGCTATCGGGATGACCTATTTGGCAGGCATCTGCTCACACAAGCAATCATTGCCTCTGTCAGTCAGTCAGTCGAACTGAGACCCGCCTTAGGTATGCTCACTACACCCTGGAGTCGGCTGGAGCTACTTATTATGCCTGCCCGGTTTTTCATTTCAACGAGCAGCGAGCAGCGAGCAACGAGCAACTCCCATGGAGCTCGACTGAAAAGTATCCTGTCATGAGCGAAAAGGTACTGCCTCGTGCTGGCATATTTGAATAAAATTCAATTCATGCCAAATAAATCCGCACTCGCATATCCGCAGGCTCCAAAATCGCCTTGGGAGGCAAACAATGCGGGGCTTTCTGCTGGAAATGGTCGCCTCTCCCTCACTTGCAGCTTACCTCAATTTACATGATTGCCAGGTGCGCCGTGTGCTTATGATGTAAGGCAGCAGCAAGGTGAGTCCTCCGTCGTCGTACAGCCACCAGACATCGATGACGGCGTGGCTGCGTTTTCGCGTAAATTGCGTCAAGTCAGCCAGCACATCCTTGGGTAGCTCCACACCGCCTGGTCCTCTATAGAGCGAGACGGGATCGTCGTGTTTCGCTTTCGATTTCCTCAGTGTATTGGGCTATGTGTGAGAGTGTGTATGCGGGCAAATTGAGCACAATTTATCTCCAAATGATCTGTGCCACTTACCAGCTCATTTGTGGTCTTGGCATCCAGTGGATCGGGCAATCCGGAGACCTCCTTCACCTGGCTGCCTGCTATGAATGATAAGTCACTCGTACTGGATGCTGTGGGAATAAGGAATAATAAATGTTTCAACATATTAAACGCCATCAGCATTGGTATTTCGAGTGCAGTACAAAAGCCATGCAGAGTCAATTAGAACTAGCGGGTATTATCAAGGCCAGGCGTCACTGCCATTGTTTCAGTAAGTGCCATAAACAAAGCAGTTTTATGCTATTCTCTGTTGCCCATTCTCATATTTACACAATTTATTTTCAAATTGGGAAATGTTATGCAAAACAATGCCCAAAACATGCACGTGCTGTGCCGCCCCCAAACACCACCGTCCCCGCCGTCTCCTGGCGCCGTTTGTCGGTCTGCGGCCTTGTAACGACTCCACATGTAGTCCGCACTGTTTTTGGGTTCGTGCTTTTAGGGGACATTGTATAAATTTATATTCAAATTTACGGGCATTCCTTAATTTGAGCGCAACAAATTGCCGAAAGGGTTTTGTCACAGCTGGCGCTGACTGCGACTACGGCTGCGGCTGCGGCTTCGGCTGCGGCTGCGACTGCGTTTATGGCGACGACTACGCTGATGCCTGCTCGTGGCTCGAGTCAGTGGTTGCTGGGTAAATCATTACATTAAGTAGTTTTCAGTTAGTTATGAATTTGCTGCATGCGACAATAGCAATAATTATGGCCATAAAAGGCGACAGAGCGGGCAGAAGCTCAGCCATAATGCATGCAGAACATGCACAGTGCGAGGTGTGGAATTGCTTTGGGAGTTGGCGCGTTTTTTTTTATTTATTTTTTGGCATTGAGTCAGCTCATACATATGTATATATTTACCTACTGGCAGCAACCCTACAATAACATCACTTCACATTCCAATCAATTACCTTAAGACACGTAAAATAGATCTTACACTCAACACCACCTGCCCAAGAGCGTATTCTACATAGGCTTTGCTTGAACCGTACTACGAAATAGAAACAGAATCAGAAATAGAAACAAAACAGGAAATGGAAATGGAATTGGAATTGGAATTGGAATTGAGAAGAGATTAGAGTATAGAAAAGTGTAAGGCACACACACACACACATACGAACGGAACGCAGCATCAAATACTTATAGAAATAATGAACATCGAGGTTTACATTCTCTCTCCACTAGCTAATACTTACTTTTGACAAATTTCAGGCCGTTGCCAGCGGGAGCCAACTTGTTGGCGGCATCTAAGAGTTTGTGGTTACAGTTGCAGTTGCAGTTGCAGTTGGGTTGGGTTTGGTGGTGCATTGATAAATTGTGGTTGTAAATTATAATTGATTAATTGTGCACAGGTGCGCATTTGGTTTTTTGAAAGTCCATGCAAAAGTAATTAAAAAGTTCAGCATTAATAAGTGGCCGACGGGAGCCGGAGCCAACTTACCCTGAGATACGTTGCGACTCAGGGAGTCCACGCTGCCGCTGAGAGCGTGGCGTGCCTCGCTGGCCTGCAAATCGTTGGAGCTCTCATTGGGCTGCAGGGTTCGTGGCACCTCCAGACTACAGTTGGCTGTCGTCCAATTGCTGTCGGGAGAGCCCAGCAGCTGCGAGCAGTCCAGTCCCTTGGGCACGCGCAATATGGCCACCGAGAGGTACATATCCAATGCCTGTGGGTGAAGAGAGAGTCGCATTTTATTCGAGAGCCCCCATCTTGACAATTCATGCAGCTGCCACTCACTTTGTGCATGACATTGAAATATTGCACCAGTTCCTTGCGGTCGCAGGTCTGCCAGTCGGTTTTGTAGCCCATGAGTATGATGTTGGGCTTCAGCTTGCCGATGCCCGTCGCCTGCATGAGGGCGCGGCTGCCAGCCTCAAAGTCCTCGCCATCGATCAGGGCATAGAAGCCCTTGACGCGGTGCTTCTGGAACCAGTTGGAGGCGCGCTCCTTCAGGTAGTTACGGTACTTCTGCGAACCAGAGCCGCGCAGCACATGGCCACAGACCAGCAGGGATAGATTCTTCGTCAGCATATAGGCAAAGTCCACCAGCACCGGCCGGGTGTTGGGCAGGCCGGACAGAACCAGTATCTGCGGCCGATAGTTCTTGACATGATCCTCCACATTGTTCAGCTGCTGCACGGACATCAGGGCGTTCTTGTACGTCTGCGCCTGAGTGGTGGAGCCCCAGTTGACGTCCGGCTTGCGGTAGGCAACAATTAAGTACAGCGCCAGCACCGCACAGAAGGTTATGAGTGCAGTGGCCCACGAAATTAAAAACATGACCGCTACGCACAGTATGGAGCCCAAAAGGCTCAGCCACATGTTATAATACTGAGATGGAAGGTGAAAGGTAAAGGGTGAAAGGTATTGAATAGGAGTTTAAAGACTAAGCACTCACCTTGAAAGTTGGCCGCCAACCGACGGGCTTGGCCAGACTGGCATGGAATGTGCTGAAGTTGATTAACATATATGCAGCCAGGAAGAAGTTGGAGATGAGCGGTGCAATCGAGTTGAGGTCACCAACGAGTATGAAGCTGCAAGATAAGAGCCATTTCCGTTATACACTCTTTGGGCGCTCTCGTCGGTTAATCGAGGCACTTACATCATGGCTATGAGGAAAGTTAGGACATAGCCACGCACTGGCTCGTTGTTTTTGCCGTAACCCTTTGCAAACCAAACTATTTTCGGATACAGCTCGTCCTTGCACAAAGCCTGCCAACAGGGGCAAGTTATTAAGGCTATTGGAGAGGCCCAGGCAAGGACCACAAACACTTACCTGGAAAACCTTCGGAGCGGAAACTAAACTGGCCAAAGCTGATGACAATGTGGCAGCAAAACAACCGGCATAGATGAGAGGCCCAAAGGCAGACACTAACTCAATTACCTGAAACGAGTTTTGCAATCCATAGAGGCAAGTACCTGTGGACGCTGTGCAAAATTTAATTAGAGTGCTTCGTTAAGCGAACAGGAGACACAATGTAGCCTACTTGAGGAGCAGTTTAAGAATGCGAAGGAACCGTTCAGAGCATCCACCACATAGCCGGTGGCGTCGCGAGCCACAGTGCCGCCGCAGATCAGAACCATGAGCATGTAGGTGGCTGTTGTGATAACGATGGCCAGAATGGTGCCTTTGGGTATAGATTTTTGGGGGTCCTAGAATACAAAGAAGATGAAAATAGCTTAAAAATGTTGCCTAAGGCGAGTCTGGAACGCACCTTCAAGTCGCCCGAAATGTTGGCGCCCGCCAGAATGCCCGTGGCGGCTGGGAAGAAGATGGCAAATACCGAGAAGAAATCGTGACTGACATAACCCTCCGTGCGGTAGTCCGGAAACAGATTTTTGTGGAACAACGTTGCTACAATAGATTTGATTAAAAGCTTGTTCATTGGCGACACGTTGGCTGTTGCTCACCATTGTAGCCGATGAAGCCCTTGGCCCGCTCTCCCTCGTTCTTGGGCCCAATTAGGCTGCCAATGATGAAGTCAGCAATAGCAGCCAGCAAAATTATAAGCAGACCGATTTGTGCCTACGGAACATAGGATAGGGAGGAAGGATGTTGTGCGGGTGCAATTGAAGAGCAACTGAGCGGAATTCATTAGGCGGCAAAAATTAATCATACGCACCTTGGCCTCCCACTCCATGCCAACCACAACGATAATCAACAGCAGCAAAATGGTGGTGCTGCCTACAATGCGCACGTCCGTGACGCCACCATCAACGATAGACACATCCAAGCTCTGCATCATGGCCTGCAGAGACTCGCAGAAGCCAACCACGTACATGGCGCAGGCGACGACATTTGCCAGCGAGAAAATGAGTCCAATAGAGCCGCCAAACTCGGGGCCCAGGGAGCGGGATATCATGTAATAGGTGCCACCTACGCAGTCACATTAAAAATCATTTAAAACAACAACAACTAAGCAGACGCAGCTGACGATGGGCACAGGACTTACCGCCTTTGATGACGCCGTTCGTGCTTATCGCCGACATTGACAGCGCTGTTATGGTCGTGACAGCGGTCGTTGTCAGTATTAGAACGAACCCCTCGATGATGCCCGCCTGGCCGACGACCCAGCTGAGGCGCAGAAAGAGCATTACGCCCCATATATTTAGCAGGCATCGTATGAGCACACCTTTGATCCAGCCAAATTTGAGCAGCCCGTTCGTGTTATCCGCCTCCGGATCCCGGTTGCGTTGTAGGCTGTGCGTGTTCTGCGAGGGACGAAAGCCAAAGTCATATTCAATAAAGCTGCCTAGCGGTGATAGATGATGCCTCGTGGGCTGAATGTGGGATTGCCTTCAAAGGCTACCGACTCCCGACACCCGACCCTTAACTCCCGACGCGTTGCCTGTCAACTTAACAGCAGGTCAACTGCCTCATAGCACTTGACGGCTTTGCAGTCATTCATCAAATTAATCATACGCCACCGCAACCGCAGACGCATGTGGCGCACAATATAACTTTTCTCTCGCTCTGCGAAACTCCCGAGAACATGTTTTGATAACTTTTAAGACAATTTAATCAAGGTTCATGGCTTCGAAAACAATTGCACACACTTTGAACTTCTAAAACAATTGATTCTTTCGTGTTCGTTTTTTTGCTGTTTTTTTCCAATTTTCAATTGACGCCCACTACAATACGAGTTCGCAGAACAAATTATTCGAAAGTGCAAAACCAATTAGTGGTAATTGATTGCATTACAAATGGAAAAAAAAGAAATATTTGATGACGGCTACCCACACATCTGAAAGCTCACATGTATATGAGTCTACTATAGGTCTACACAAAAGGCAGTGTGAAATTTTCCAAAGGAGCCATCTCTGAACTTCTTCTTAACACTTGGTTGGCATTGACAAAGAAGGCTTTCAATTCAAAGTCGCGACAGAGTCAGATAAAGACGTCAGAAAAAAGTCGCTTTTAGAATAACAAGCAGTGACACATTGTAATGCTTTTTTGTCTTACACAGCAACCGCACGTGTGAACTTAAAAGCCAAAGGCGAGAGTCAATTGAAAAGTCAGCGGCCCTAAAACGTCCCCCAAGAGTGACTGCACAGAGTCGGAAAAATGGCGCTCAAGCGCCATACAGCAAAAAATGGCAATCAATGTTGTATTTGGTTTGCATTCAATTAAATCTAATAAAGCTGCATTTCAGTCTAGCTGATTGCAGCGGTTTCGGTGGTTGCAGTGGTTCCTCCCAGACAGCAGCTTTCGCCTGTTTACCCAGGACGCGTCAGTGCAGAACGTTCCTCGAACCCACGCACTATGCTAATGACCCCAGCTGTTGACTGCTCTGCTGCCAATTTAAAATGCTCACTGAGCGAAGGAGCAGCGGATGAGGAGGAGGAGGAGGAGGAGGAGGAGGAGGAGGAGGAGGAGGAAAGAAAGCTCATTGCCACAGGCTACTTGACACTTCTCGTGGCAGCTACAATTTGCAGTGTCAAGCACAGGAGTAGGTTAAAATGCTCTGGCAACGGCTGTGACTTTTCCGTCCGTGAATGCCAGGCCGTTGCCTGGTGTTGAATTGCCCAGGAATTGGTTTAAATTTAAATTTGCCCCTAGCACTTAATATGGGACCGTAAATGTACGTTATATGAATATAAATGGAGATGGCCATGGCAGCAGAGGCGCCAAAGGATACTCACTTTCCCCACCAGCGTTGCATTGTGCAGCTCGTCGAGCGTTGGACGGTAGGCGGCCTGAATGGACATCATGTTGCGATAATTATCCAGACGTGGCAGAGCCTCGCGCGTAAAATGCCTGGATGGGCATTCAATTCAATTAGCAACAATAATAAATGCAATATAATTTAATGAGCTTACCGAAAACTTTTGCCATATTTTGTATCGTATTCATTGTCCAGCAGTTCACGCTCCTCCTGCGAATCATTCGAACCGTCAGATTCCTCATTCTGTGGCTCCACTTGAAAGCGCGTCGTCGTCTGCAAGTCCTTAAAGCGCGATGGCTTATCCTTATCGCGAAAACTACTCTTGATGGACTGCCTGCACAACAAAAGCAAAGTTCGCTTTATAACAGATTAAAAAGGTCTCTGCTCACTGCGGCATGACAAATGTACATTTAACATCCAAGTGCCAAGTCCTTTCGCATTCAAAATAATAAAGTTGCCCGGGGCAACTGTTATACAAACTTTTCTCTTAACTATACGCAATTGTATCCATACCATTTAAAAGCTGGTTGCTGAATTTTTTCTTGGTTTTCTTTTTTTTCCTTTACTCAATTTTGAAATTTAAGTGAAACAAATTTCATTACGCGCCATTTGAACTGGTTGAACAAAAGACCAATTTCAGCTGAGCTGCTCCCTTTTAGCCAAGGTGTACTGGCCATGTGGGTAGCTCATAGCCACAGGACACAGCCGCTCGAGCAGACAGAAGCCGAAACCGGCGACGGGCTTACATGATTATTATGCTGGTTGCTATTGCTATTGTTGCTGTTTTTGTGGCTGTTGATGATGCGATGCATGAGTGACTGACTAAATCCCTACTGATTTCTGTTTAATGTGCACTCACGTGGTTTTAGCAATTGGCTTTAACGGCGGCCTGCAGCTACAGGAGGTTACTTTGAAAATTCCAACTAAATATTATGTTATGCTCTGTCATACGTTGGCGTCAGAGAGATTTTTATTTAATTAATTCAGCTTAGCGTGTTCAGATGAAGAAAAAAAACAGAGAAAATGATGAAGTAACCTTCGTGTCCTTTCTTCTTACTTCACTCATGAACTCAAGTATTGCATTTAAGCCTTGAAGCTATTCTATTAACGAATGAAGAAGGCAGACATAACGGATGCAAGTGGAGTAGGAGCAGCACGCCTGTCCCTCACGCTTCCCTCTTGATGTCTATTATGAGGACTATGCGATAGGATACCGAAAATGCCAAAGGCACTCGATATGAACTCGTGTAAATATGTACATTTTCAATGCTGAACGGCGGCTTTCGATACAACTGAATCAATTTCAAGGGGCTTATCGAAGTAATTTACGAAATTGTATCAATTTGAAAGGCATTATAGGAAAAGCTAAGGCTCAGCTCAATTAATTATAGAATCGCTCTAAAATTTTCAATTGAATCCTCACGAATATTTTACTACCTTGGCATTTAATACTGACGCAGGATAAAGGCGGCCAATTATTAAATTGTCAATTGGCAATTAGAGCAATAATGCGAGCTCTTAAAAGTCCCATTCATTCCGCGTATAAATTTCGAAATGAATAATGCAGAAGGCTCTTATTTTACGGCTTCTGCTTATATTTGGTAATTTATTGCCCTAACAGCAGACCAATAAACTCTCCGAGTCGCCCCACTCGACAATCCTGCTCAGCTCTGATTAACAGTCATGACCTTTGGTAAAGGACCAAAGAACAACTCATTTTCGATTCGCCGCTGGGAATGCAAATGGATACCAACTTGTTTCTTCTGTCAGCTGCATTCATCGGATGCCAATATACACAAATTGTTCTTCTTCGATTTCTTTTTTTCTGCTGTGATTGCGTTCATTGTTGCTGCTGCTGCACCGCCTCCCATTTCAATTAGGGCTCCCGTGTCTCTCTCTGTCTCTCCCCCGAGGGACAGCTGCTCGAAGCGTTAAGACAAGGCCTGTTTATTGAACTTGTCAAGCAAAGGCCACTGAGCCAGGTCGACAAACTTTCAAATCAGAGATAGCGAATGCAACAAGTTCCAATTGAAGCCAATGACCAGGCAAATAATTTTACAATGGTTGCCTATCCAATTACATGGCCAAAAGAAAGTCGAATAATAATTCGCGATATTATTCTTATCAAAATCAATTTGAATTGAGTCAACATGAATGTAATTTATATGCGACCGAGACAATTGCAAATATTTACAGGGTATACGATACCCTTTCGCATACACACTCATAAGAAAATGCGATAAAAATAAGGCCATTTATGAAATCTGAACATAATGAAAACAAGAAAACAAGTAACTGGCAAAGTAAACGACAAAACTTTTCGTAGAAAATTGACAATTTCTTAAAAGTTTCAATGTTCACAAGTGAGTGAGGAAGGGATGAGAGCTCACCTCTGCTGCCTGGGCTGCTGTTTGTTCAACAATTGTGTCGCATCGAAAGTGTCATCCTCGAGGAGCTCGCCATCGATGTTGGTCAGCCTGCGGTAGACCTCGTCGGCTGGCGGTGCGTGTGATTTGCGGTCCTCGTTGTTGTCATTGTTGTTCTTGTGATGGTTAACTGGATTCACTTGGAAACGGTTGGGCCGGTCGACCGAGGCCATTTCAAACGATGTTGTATCCGACATGTCGCTCTGTGCGTGTGCGTTCGGGTCGATCCTTGTCTTAAAATACCGTTTTGAGTGGTTTGCTTTGGGTTTCTGTGGTTAGCTAATGCCCACAACTTTTTGTTGTGTATTTTCTCCTATTTTTTTTTTTTTTTTTTTTTTTTTTCTTTTTTTGGCTGTCTCAGCACAAGCACTTCACTTTAGCTATATTAGTTCCGTTGTCTATTTATATCAAGGACCAACTTTGGGCTTTCGTGTTCTCTGTCCAGCCAATGAATACTTTCCAGCTTTGTCACAAATTTTTTTCTGCAAATAAAGTACAAATGATTTCCAAAATGAATACAATGCGAATGTGATATGTTGCCGATAAGACGGTTTCTAACATATATATATATTGCTCATTAGCTGATTTCAGCCAAATATTCAAATTTTATTTATTTTCCATGGCAAACTATTCGACTGCAGCGCACTGAATCGCTCGCGGCATACCAAAATATTTACCCTTGTCGGCAGTGAAAGCATTTTCAAGTAATGTGGTTTTTGTGCGCTCTGTCAAATTTTATGCCGTAAGTACGCTGCGTCGCTGTTCGGGTACAAATTGGGTCTCTAAATATAGCACAAACATAAATTGATGCAAATTAATCATGATTAACAGTGTTATCCTATGGGAAAACGCTTGCCATGTGAATCAGCCCACTCAGCCACACCTGGCGTATGCGTGATGCGCCCCGTGCATGCAGCACAGGTACAAGGATGTAAAGTGGCGGCTCGTAGCCCGTCTGGGAATTACGGCACTTGATTGCATAGCGTCGGCAATATCTCACGTGGTCTTCCGGCTCGGCAGCATCAGTTTGGCATTAGTGGGTCAATGCAGGAGATAAACAGCGTGAGCAATTAGAAAACAAAATGTTGGAGGCAGAGCGAACGACACACAAGAGACCTGAATAGAAGCGCTAGATAATTACGCCAATTATGCAATTTTTTTTCGTTTTTTGTGAAATATGTGGGAACTTTGCACTCGAGCTACGTAAAATTTGCTCAAATTTATTGAAGCAATTAAGCGCTTAATTCAATAAGCACACGCCGCAAGGGGCGGCCGGGGGCTGCGAGCTGTGGACTGTGGTCTGTGCCCAGGGACAAGCGACAGCTGCTGGCAGGCAGTCAGATATACACGCCGTGCGTTGAGCAAGCAACACGGCCTGCGGGACTTGGCCTTAGGACCAACAACTTTGTGAAAGCTTATCGGCTTGCGACAGAAGGCAAGCCTTGCCTTGACCTACGGCCTTCAACAGATCCAGGTGAAAATTTGATAAGCGCTAAATGCGAAGGAGTTAGGGAGTTGGGCAGCAGCAGCTGGCGGGCTGGCGGGGCGGAGCATTCTATGTAATGAAAACATTTTCTAATGATGACATTAAATGGAGATTTTTGATTTATGATATGACTTAGTTTTGATGAATTGCGCCATAAACAAATTCATTTGCATTCTGTCAACGCAACGACAATAATGTGGGTGGGGCCATTAATTTTTTTTTTTGTCTTAGCTGACGCCGGTCATTCGACTCCCCCACACGATATCACTTGACAGCTGCTAAAAGGCATCGCATAAACAACAAGAAAAAGCTGTAAAAAACTTATCTGAATAATTGTTGCCATTGTCCGAGCCACGCAAACGGCTGAGACCCACCAGGCGGGCCCCTTTTAATGGCCCTACAATGGGCCAATTGCTTCCGATGGTGATTTCGCGCTGAACATGTATTTCTTTTTCTGTTGTTCTCAAGCTTTTAACTTGCTTGTTGTACTTTCTCTTTTATTTTTATTTTATTTTTATTTTTTTTATTTTGCTGTTTTTTTTTTCGCTGTGATTGGACTATGCCTATGCGTATTTAAGCGTTACTACGCTTTCTTTTCATGGCTCAATTCAACGCCCATTCGCATTTCAATTGCCACAATAAAATAAGATTTTTACTACTTTGGTGGTCTGTGCGCCCCAAGGGATGGATATACCATATAAAGCCGGTTCTACGCCCTCTGCTATATGACCGAATTAAATCTACGCTGGGAGCTGCCTGCTTAATGACCATGAGATAAATTTAACTTTGTAACGCAGTCGTAAAGAGTTGCCATTTTTTTCCAAGGGAACGAAATTAGAATCGCTCTGTCAAAGGATGTGGCCATAAAGCCAAATATTGTCTCTTCTATAAATCCGCAAGCAGAACACTCAGGGCATTCACACCATCAGAAATCGTGAATACAGGCTATTAAATGGCTAGTACACACTTCTACCTTGACCACGAGCAGCCACACAAATAAAGAATATATTGTATATATAAATTTTATTACATGACCTCAATTATAAGGCGATACAAAAAAGAACAACAATCAAATATGGTGACACTGATGTAAAGACCTGCCAATGCTGCTGAGGCAGCGGCTCTTAATGACACAACATCATCACAATGGGAAAACATAGAGCATGGCCCCTGGATAATCGTGTATTGTGATGGCCGTTTGAACGTGCTTTCCGTGTCGCACTGAGCCCCAAAGTTTATGCCCTAATATTGATATCAATCGTTTTTCTACTAGATGAGAAGCGATACATGTCCGAATGGTAATCAGTAAGACGGCACGCACAAAAAGAAAACTTTCCGACAGCCATCGGTTGTTTTGGGACAACTTCAACAATATGTAGCCCACACACACACACACACACACACACCACCACCACCCACGTGGCTAAATGTTCCATGTGGTGCTGTGGCCACATAAGCCACGGTCTCTGTGTGTGTGTGTGTGTGTGGGTATGGATGGACAGGACTATCCGTGATGCACATCAAAGCTGATTAACAGTCAGGCTCCTGTGTACTGACATAGAGAACAACAAGCTGGCAGTAAGGAAAAACAAAAACGAAAAAAAAAGTGTCAAAAACATACAACAAAAGTCAAACAAGTCAAGCGTGTGCTGATTTAGACAGTATTAGAGCGGCATGGGGCGTGGCTCGATAAACTTAATGCCAGCAAACTTTAATATTAAATACAGCTCGACCGAAAACATTCTAATACATAAATCCTGTTATATTCGCCCAGCAAAGCCAGTCGAACTTCAGAGACGAGCTTAAGTGAAATCCTTTGACATTTCGGCCAATTAACATCGGAAAATCCGATACGACTTTAAACTGACTTTTACAAATTATGTAGAAGCTAAGTGAAAGGGAAAGCTGAGCACACCTAAAAGCACAATTTATACAAGGAATTAAAGCCCTCAAACAAATATTTATTGCCACCCACACAAGCGGCCTAATTGTCATACGAGTACGCAGCGAAACTTTCCTCATGTCTAAAATTGAAACTTCGCGCGAAATACCCTGATGAAACAACGCTCAAGTTTCTTTCCTGTATAACCGGCAACAAAATTCTGCTTTGTTGCCTGTTCTCAGGCAAGTTCTATCGAGTGTATTGAGAAACTGCTTCAATATGTTTCGAGTCAAACATGTTCCAAGAAACTGAATAAAGATGAGCTTTTTTTTTTTTGTTTTTTTTTTTTTATCACAGCGAAATATGAAATCATTAAACAGGTTTTGCTCAGAGCCTGAGCCACAGACAAAATTTAATTGCGTCGCATCGGCGTTAAGCTCAACTTCGATTCAGAAGCCACATCATAAAACGAATTCCCAAGCACTTCAAATTTCATTTATCATAGATTTTATTGAGTTTGTTAACCTTTTACAAGACCAAAAGTTGGCTTCCAAATGCCAATGAATAAATTTTATTGTTTAAGTTTTCTTTCAAATATGTTAAATATCATAAAAACTTCTCACTTCAAACCCTTTAAATCGGGATGTCAAGCATTCCTGTCAGGCGCAGCTGTTTGTCAGAGAAATTTAAATATGTCAAAATGTGTCAGCCCGAGAAGTCATCAGATATGTAGCATTAGTTTTTGAGCTCTTTCAATAACCGCAGGCGCGCAAGAGCTGCCAACATCTTTGGCCCAAGCCCATTCGGAAGCCAGTCGGAAGTTGGCAAAGTTTTGGTGTTTTTTATGCCAGGCATTTGTTTATGTAAGTACAAGTATTTCATATTATTTCTGGGCTGTAAATTTGCATTGAAAAGTGCCATAAATATTATTTCGCGAGCTTTTATGTCAAGGGTACGCAGTCTGTCTGTATGTATGTATGTATGTATGCATGTGTGTACATATACTTTGTTGGCCTTCTGGGAGAGCAGGATTCCAATAAGCGATGTATTCCTTTTATGATTTAAAGTCGTAAAAGTGCGGCAGCATATATTTACGACTCAGAAATGGAATGCCATTGAGTAAGTACCCAAGAGCCGGCTGTCCCCGGTTGTGGGCCATTGGACTGCTCAAATGCTCAACAGCTCAACTGCTCAAATGCTCAGCTGTGTGTGGGTGTTTGCTGTGACTGCAGATTTTATTCGCTTCATTTGCGGCGACATAAATTAAGTGCAAAATTCTACAAAAACAAATATATATGTACTTCACATATCAAGGACGAAACAATGCTGCCGGCATTGAAAATCCAATAAAAAAAAAAAAAGAAAAAGTCTTACGAGCATAAGAAAAATTGATTTGACGAAATCAATGCGAATGTGATTCGAGCTCGCTTTTATGCTCACTTTCAACGCTTCGCAGTAAAGAAAGTTTGCTGGGTAAAAATATAATTCTAACGACATTCACGGCAACTCATAAAATGCCAACGATTAGGCGGGCGCCCAGTGAATTCGTTACGAATTTTCCATAACTTAAGAAACTGAAATCGTTTCTAATAAAACTTAATACAAAGTCAATTAAGTATTCGCCTGCTAACCAAGTATGACGCGTTTCAATCAAATCATTTCACCTTCGTGCCGATCGACTGCAGGTTTGGGGCGAGTTATGCGAGATTATTTTGTGTAACTGCAGTAAATATTTTGACGACATTTTTACGACAGTATTGTGCAACTAGCAATAAAAACGATAATAATATATGAGCTCAGCCGATTAGTAGTTAAAAAATCATTTCAAGTCCAGAAGCGCCTCTAAGAATTTGCACACAAATGTCGCATGCAAAAGTGAATTTATTAATTCTCAGATTGTTTCAAGTGTCTTGAAAGCCCAAGGGCGCACGTAAGCCAATATATGCATAAATGCATTTTTTCATGTATAATAAGACAAAACAAAACATAGTGCATAAAAAGTAACTGAAAATTGATTTTATTCATGCCAAAAGTGAATTGAGGCATGCACAAAGACTGAGCTACGTATGCAACTCGTATACTAAACTATATACACATACATATATATTTTGTTTTTATATGTACGTCTACAATTCAGTCATGTGCCGAGGCTCACCATGAATTCGCTTTGAACTTTCATAACTTAATTAGTATTAAGCATTATAGACTAATTACTTGCTAAATACTTTGGCCACCAATGGGGAGTGGGGCAATGGGGAGTGGAAACTGCATCGAGGCACGCAACAAACATAATTTCAAGCATGCAACAGTTAGAAAGTTACTCATAATCATGCTCAGCTAATGTTAATTGGGTCATTTGCACGAGCTGCCCCATTTCATGTTAGCTAATTCGAGGCTTAGTCTTGGCATAGCTAATCAGCAAGCTGAACTTCTACTAGCTTCATAGTGGCTTCATAATCTTAACCTTTCATATTTGCATTGGCTGTGCAGCTCAACAGATAAAACCCAAACGGAATTCGTTATGATATCTTCGGCAGCTATCCTCTTTTAATTATGGCATTATATTTGGGTCCAACTCACATCATCTTATCATTTTATTTTTCAGTTCAGCACACAATTTGGTATATTTAGGGGAATCGTAGGCATTCGCCCGATGGTTGGGTCCACTGCACAAAGCTCTTCATTAATTTTAAATGCGACCGCTCGGACTACATTCTTATGTGCGCTCAGAACAAGACAAGCTCGTTTGCCAATTTCGCTAGAGTTAAAGTGTATTTTTATTAAAATTATTGCGAACGGCAGACCTTCTGTTAAAAATACAGCACTGAGAAACAACAGAGAGAGAGAGAGAGAGAGAGAGAGAGAGAGAGAGATAGAGAGAGAGGAGAAAATAAAATAAAAAGAATTTCGCCCCTTCAATCAGACGCAAATTGAGCCCCCGCAACACACATCAAAGCACCAAATTCTAATCTTCAAGTGGTCTGGGCAATCGTTGAGGTCAGGTTCCTTGATTCTTCGTGAATTACGCGTATTTTAATTAAAGTCGTATTCAATTAATAGTCGCTACCAGTACCAGAAGATTTGGTTTTTGTGCACCGCTTTGTTTAACGAAACACGAGCTTTGCACCGCTGGCCGGTGACCACCTAACCCCAGGCCTCATCAGTTCTGGGCTCTGTCTGTTCTGTCAATTGCCATAAATCTTGATTAAAAGCGGAAAATGTGGCGAAAAGGTGAAAATTGTTCGCGTTTCAGCGAGCGCTGGCGATTGCTATTTTCGTAGCTTGAAGGCTTTTGTATAATTTCCAAGTCGCTTTCTGAGCATTTCCGTTGTAACTAGAGCCCGTCTCCTGCCCTCTCTATCCATCCGGCTACACACACCCACCTCACTTATCTTCGATTGCAGTCTGTTGTTTGCTCGTGTTTATTTATCTTCTCTTCTCTTTTTATTCTTGTTGCGCCCCGCCGACTGGGTTATTCTCTGTATTCTCGGTTTGTCAAGGTTCGCAAGGTCAATGATTTAATACTTTAGTAGTCGGCTTTGCATTGTCTCCCAGAGCCCAACATTCCTATGACTTTTCTTTGTGTTCGCAATGTCATATTTCCATTATTTATTGTCTGCCACTGACATGAAAAGCCACGACACTAGCGCCACTTGTTAGCCTTTTCCCAGCTGTATTTCTCTGTGGCTGTCCCCAGCCAGTTGATTGAGAAGTCAAAAGTCAGAAACTATTGGACCATCAGTCGCCTTTGGTGTATTTTGTCGATAGGTCGGTCAACGAATGCACATCGAATTGGCTGCGGACTAGATTTCTCTCTCTTATATAGAATTCATATTCCAGTTTGGCTTCTACTTATGTAGATTGTCTGACCTCGCTCTGCACAGTGGAGCACATTGCACTCTCTGCTAACAAAAGTTTTCGTCAGCACTCGCTAGGCATTTGTTTAGCTGGGCACAAATGCTCTCATGCATGTGCAGGGCGCGGTGCAGGCCTTGAGTGCAACCCCTTAAAAAGGTTCGTCATGTTCCATGGCAAGTAGGGTTGATTGAGTAAACAGCGCATGCGCAGCTCCTTTGACAGCAGATGCCGTCAAAGCAGGAAAGCTGATATCTTGAAACTCAACCGTTTGTTTTTTTTATAGCAGGTGTACTCATGGCGCTATGTTCTTTAAATGATATACACTGAAAAATAAGTCGGTGACTCTTTAAGGTATAATATCAGAATATCAGAAACACCATACAAGTCGAGCAACTGAGTTATCGAATGCCCATATCAATTTGGTGTCAATACAACAATTTTATCTATAGAAAACTTGTTATCACTTCCATGTTTCCTTGATCATAATTAATAATAGTACAGCCCCAAATCGATTGTAGTACTCAAAGTTAACATAAAGCAACATACGAGCTATACATGACACATGTATGAGATATTTATACATTAAGATATGACGCGACTTTTTCGGATAGTGTCCAAATGTAACTGGACACGCGACCGCAGCTCGCACTGCATTGCAAAGTGCATAGAAAACGAGGTAACCCGATACTAGATTATACTGGAAATATATATATATAATAAGCGTACATATATATTATATAAATATGAGGTATGTGTATATGCCCCTCCTGCAACAAGTGACTGTAAACTGTGCCTGCCTCGTCTTATTCCACACATTAGAAGCACTTAAGATCAGTCCGATTAGCAAATACTCTGAGACGTACAAAGAGTACCACGGCCATATATTGCAATGATTTATGCCAGACATTGACTGCAGCAAAGAGCTAGTCTTACGAAGCGAAGAGACATTCAGCAGGGAGAATCCGAGCAGAGCGCCCAAACGTTATATTATGGCTTTCAAGTTCAAGTGCGTTTAAACTAAGAGACACTTAAAGCAGAATACAAATGCACACTTCCACTAAATATATATACATATGTATATATGTATGTATATAGAAATGCATTCATTCAGATCAGCTAACTTGTATATGCCTAAGTAGGCATAATTTTCGTGAGCAGACTTTCTTTTAATCGCGATGTTTGCCCACTCAATATTGTTTTTGATGATAACAATGCTGAGCTAAGCGAACTTTATCGGGTCGTGGTCATATGCCACAATGAAAAACCCAAATAAAAATATATTCTCTGTTTTAAGCACTCATTTCCAAAATTAAAAGATAAACATTCTTTCGCATACACCGCACGGAATGCCACATGACCATAGTCTAAAACAACTAAACACATTATACCTAAATGCCAATTTATGCCTTTAAGAGTCTTATTTGCTTATTTCAAGTCTTAAGTTACTTACCAAGAGTTGTTAAAGGCGCTTAAAATCCAATTCAGAGCTAACCGGTTTTTTTTGTGCACTTATTTGAAGACGGTTACTTGTGGCTGGCTCTCCGTGAAGTTCGTGTAATATTTGTGTATAAACTGATATGGTAAATAAACTATTCAGCTAAAAGTAAACACAAATAATTATGCAAACAGTTGTATTATCTGCACGACGGAGACAATATGCATATACATATACATAAATATATGTATACAGATTGTCCGAGTGAAACACAATTCAATACCGAGAAAAACTTTTTATCAGCACAAGGCAATGAATAGCCAAGTGGAGTATAATTATAATAGGCACAATTATATATATAATGGTAAGTCTGTGTTCAAGTAAAACATTTTCAATTTAACTTATTTATTTTTAACGCGAATCTTTCAAATGCGAAACTGTAAAAAGAAACGCGGCAATCTTTTGGAACGCGGTCGCACTTAAATATTTTACTCATGCGTTAAATATGTATGTATAGCTGGCTTGTAAATGCATTTTCCACTAATTAAGCATGCTTTCAAGATAGCACTTGGAAAACTTAGAAAACACAAAACCCGCCCACCGCCGACTGTGGGGCTCAATTCAAAAATAAATAGCCAGGTACATGTGTGCATGGGCCGCCAGAGCTCATGCACAAGTGTAAATAGCTATTTTTTAAGAGGCAACCCAAAATAAAACGTTTTTATTTATATGATTTCTTATTCACTGGAAGAAATTGAAATGTACTTCAGGCACACACAATACAGCCAGCGTGGCCAGAAAAAAACTCAAACGTTGGCAAAGGCGACACCAAGCCGGAGGCACCGCACGTGCAGAGAGCCAAAGAGCAACTGAAACGAAACGTTCGCGCGATCAGCAAAAGCAACTGTATATAGCGGACGGTTCCATCGGCACAAACGAGCCGACGAACCCAAACACATTAAAAACCAACAAAAAACTCACAAAAAAAATACCCAACAACAACTGAGCTGTAGCAGGCAATTGTTCGCCGGCAAAGCTGTGACGTGATCGATGACAAATCGCTGAAACGTGCAACACCACTGAAACTTCCACTCAAAGTGGATGAAGTTATGAGTGAAAAGAGTGCCACCGCACAGCTGTACATATTTATGCCCCTGTACATACGCTTATGCATATAGCTACGAGTACGCGTCTCTATCGGCAGCACCACTTTGATTCATAAATGTATTCCAGCTACCCATTAGGGTGGCTAGTTTCATTTATACCCTTGGACATTGCTATACATGTGGCGTCATTTATGCACAGAGTCCTGTTTGAGTGCTCAAACAATCGGCACAACCATCGCTCGTAAGGCGAAAATTAATTTATTAACTAATATTGTACGGTATTTTATTGTTCGTCTCAATGCAAATAAATATGCAATAGAATATGAAGTGCTTCCCCTGCGATATGCGAATTCATTTATATAAATTGTTTGCTTTCGATATACTTTGCCCATTTATTGAGCAGATAATGCCGTGGAAGAAACTTTTAATTAAAATATACATTATATTAATTTAGAGATCAAGGTCACTCCCTCCCTCCCAACCACAGGGCGTTCTTTAAACAAGAAATTACAAAAATAAAAATGGAATGGTAATAAATCAAACTCGAAATGTTTACACATATTACACACACACACTCACACACATTTCATGTTAATACAAGACCCAACTGGTGTATGCGCCTGGGTACATGTGAAATCTGACAGATATGCCCCAACATCCATCACATGTACTCAAATTGAAGGAAGTCCACGGCTTGAATGGGCGCCAGTCGGAGCCAGCTAAGAAGAAAATCAGTTGTGCCCTTATAAATTTTAGGTAATTCTTAAAAATCCTGAGGTTATTTCGCGATTCACGTTGGCAAACAAGTGGGGGCCCAGAGCACATATGTGCACATACATCATACAAATGAGCATAAAGTGCGTGGGTGTTTGTTTGTGTGTCTGTGTGTGTTTAAAGCAACACAATTTTCGCAAGTCTTAGAGGACTTCCTTTCCGAAAATACTAATTAAATGTTAATAACCTATTTGACATTTGAAAATCTTAAATTTATTAACAACGCCTGTTTTAACTTAAAAGTCTACCGACAAGTTGTTAATACGATGATTATTGAGTGTAGAAATCATGTTACATGCATATTACAAATGCGCTGCATGCGACACGAAGACCTTATGACTTGACATTTGACTGTAGTTCTGTGGTTACATTTGTATACACACACACACACACTTGTATTCGGCGCACTCATACCAACATACGGCCAATAATTTAATTAGCTGTGGCCTTTCAATTGCGTTCATTATAATTACATATATTTTTATCAGCAGTCGTGGGTAACTGTAGACGACAGTCGCTACGACCAAGACGGGGCCCATGTGCGGCATTTGTCAGTTGTCAATAAGTCAAGTGATGTTAATTAATTGTGGGTGATAGTGGAGCTCTCTCTATGTGCCGTCGTTCACAGTTAACCTGCTAGAAACAGTTAATATTTAACGCGCACACAATTAAGAACGACATATATCTTAATCTATACATATATCTGTCGATGTACATATGTACGCTCTTACGTAACAGTGCATTAGGTCCACTCAAGCATATAATTGAATTACAATCCGTGACTCAAGCAAAACTCAAGAAAAACACCAAACCACGATATTAATCGTTTTCATAATCTATGTGGGCATTGTGCGGAATTCCAGCCAGACAAAAACATAAGAGCTTATGATTTAATTATACATATACACAATGATTTAAATCAATTAGAAGCTATATCACGGAAACTAACTTAGCCAAAGGAAACGTTTCTTATGCTATTGCTAATATTAATAAGAATTCGATGTGTTGATGCTCAAAATAGCTTGGATTTCTGTATCGCTGGCGAATTGTTGAAATGATGTTTGGCAATTGTGTGGGCTATGCTGCCTGGACGCACCAGCTGACGTTGCAGTGCGTCGCCATAGAGTTTTACAAGTGAAGGCTCCTCTTCTACGGGCTCCAGATAAGCAGCCAGTCCGCCTATCAACTGGAAAGTGGAACAGTATTAGGCAATATGTAGATACAAGATATTTCCAGAACATACCAAACTCTCATCACAATTTAAAAAGCGCATTGCCTGCACATGCTCGGACCAGATGCGTCTACGCCACTTGTTATCATACTTCTGAGCCAGCGGGAGCAGCACTAACGAGCTAAACAGCTCATCGCCATAGCTTGCCGCTTCGAAGTGGTTTACAAACAGATAGTACAGTGGCTCGAAATTGGCCTTGTCCTCAAATGTGGCATCAAAGTCGAAATGGTACGTTTTATTCTGAGCGTAGAAATCGAGCAACTGCGTGTGTAGTAGCTTATGCAGCTCTGGTTCCAGAAACTGACTATCGGGACCCATAAAGGCTATCATCAGATACATTAGCTTTTCAAGTGGACTGACAATTTGCAAACCCTGCTGTTCCAACTGCTGGACAAAGCTGAAGGTCATGCGTACCACCTGATTTTCTGTGGGAGGCGTTCGATTAAGGTGAAGTAAACAGGAATTGAATATTGACTCACCTGAGTATATAACCGCAGGAGCCTGCTGTACATTTTGCAAATAATTGTTGAGCAACAGGCGTAATTGAAAATAAGGCCAATCAGGCATCAACACAGGCGCCTGAGTATAGCAGAGTGTCAGCGTGGGATCCCTGTTTTCCTGCATAAGAGAAACAGTCAATGAGGCATTAACAACAATAAAGCAATACAAACTCACGGCTATAAAATGCGAATAGACAACTTCCATGCAAGTTTGTTGTAGCAGTTGCAAAGACTTTTCGTCTAACTCCACATACTTCCCACTAAAGATGTACCGTTCGAATATGCTCTTCATTGGCTTGGCCTGTGAGGCGCTCAAAGAGCACAGATAGTTATAAACAACCTGAAGCAGTTGTGTGCGTGACAAATAGGTTTCAAAGCCATCGGTGCTCAGTAGCTGATAGACAAACTTCAGTTCGCTGCGAGCAAAAAAGTTGCTGGCCAGAAAGCGATTCAGACGTGTGCTCAACTGCTTTAAATATTCCGCCAAGGGCTCCAGCACAGCAGGTTGGAGCAGCGCTTCAAGTAGTGGCTTCATGCCATCCTCCAGTGGTGGCTCAAGCAGAGCCCAAATATTACTCAGCAGCTGCACTGGATACGTGTCGCTCACAATCAACTGCGGCCCATAGTCGTTCATCAACACCGCCCCCACATTCGGCAATGGGGCGTGTACATTGCGCCGATCACTGAAGCTGCGTAAAATTATAGAGCTGCGTCTATATTTGATTGAGAGGTAGTTATTACAGCTGATTAACTAATCAAGAGATCGCCTGTCAAGTCTACTCACGTCAACTGCTGCACACATGCAACAAATCCAGCTGAGCGAACAAACTCTGGCAGAATTTTGCGCAGAAACTGCGGAAAGGAAGCGGTGCCCAGGTAACTATGACGAGAGAACCAGCCAACTGCATATACCAATGCACTCAGGAGCGTCAGCTGAGTGTACTAAAATATAACAAAAATAAAGTGAAAATGGTACTTGAGGGGCCTCCAACACTTCACTCACATCCTTTAGACCTTCGCTACGCGTCGCCTTATGCATCCAGCTACAGCAGCAGTTGTGCAATGGCTCCAAGAACAGTTGCTGCGCCTCAATGTCGCATGCACCGCACTCACCGCTCGCCACAATCGCCACGACCACGGCAGCTGCGTGTTGTCGTATGAGCGCCGAACCGCCCATCTCGAATACACAATGATTAAAGTGCCAGTCAAGTATCTGACGGAGCGCAGGCAGGAATTGTCTGTAGAATAATAGGTATTATGATTCCGGTATTTATCAACGTCAAGATCATTAGCTATATAAGTAGACATATTGCCAAGCAAGCCTTAGTTTGAGAGTTCAATCCGGACTAATAAAACTTTGGGGATTTGCGCAATGTACTCCAAAACGTTAAGCGTAACGTTGGCATTGCTTGTTTTGTGCTGCGAGATAACGCCACATCAAGCCGTAAGTTCCTATTGATTGAAAGTTTATCCTACGAGTTTTGTAAAACTAAAACCACCCCCTAGTTTGATGTACCTGAAGTAGTCAAAAAACATGTGAAAAAATTGCATACGCGCTGCATGGCCAAAACGAGCGTCAGTGAAGGTAATCAAAAGGTGAAACCCATCTTGAAATTTTGCTTAAGAGAATTTATGCGCTTGCAGAGCTACTGGAAGAGGCCAAAAAGGGTGATCTGCCAAATGATCCAACCTTTAAATGTTTCTTGCACTGCATGTTTGATATGTTCGGATTGGTATGTAAAATATGCATAAGATTCCACAATGATATATAACTATATTACTAATAGATCGACAATGAAAATGTAATGCACTTGGAGGCTTTGGTTGAAGTATTGCCAGTGGAAATACATGACAAGATTATGGCTTTGGTAGATGCATGTGGCAATAAAAGTAACTACGATTATATCCAAGCACTTTGTTCATTTTAAAGACTACTTTTCTGTTTTATCTACTCGACAACAGAGGGAGTTGACGGCTGCGATACCGCTTATCAGTCGGTCGTATGCTACATGGCTACGGATGCACCTTTCATGCAATCAGGCATCACCGACATACTTGCCTAACAAAACACTTACTTGAATGATTCCCGATCTATGATGCCCAGCAGCAGCAGGCAACGCAATATGCGGAGCGCCTCGATTTGAACACGTATTAATTTGCCCTACATTGAATAAAAATTGAATATTACCAAAACAGAATTCATAATTATAAACTTTGCAGAGCCTTTTCTTACCTTTACGTTA